TCCACATGAGGGTCGACTTTCCCAACTTTTCTCTCTGCCCTCTCTCGTGCGTTTTGGTTTGCACCCTCTCTGTTTGAGAGTCTCCTCACCCTCTAGTGGTGATTTTGCTTGGTCATTTCTGGTGGTTCTTATCCACCCTTTCCCATAGCCAGTGTTGTTTTCCTCTTTTTTCCCCATCTCCTCTTCCTCTCCTTGTCCCAAAACTCAGATCTTGGATCGCTCCCTGCTCGGCTCGAATTCTCGCAACCTCTTCCGCTCTACTGTGTCATCCTCTTCAGATCCATGGCTCCATGTTGGCATCTGTTGGAGCGTGATTTTGGAATCTCCTTAAAGCGCTTTTGTCGCTTATTGGTCGCTGGAGGCTGTATACATCCTCCCAAGACATCTCTTCGAGTTCCTATGTTCTTTGTTCTTGGTTCTTGATGGTGGAGTTGTTGGGTTCCTTCGGTGCTGGTGCGGATTGGTGGTTCTCTTTCCTTGTGGTGGTGGCGGCGGCTAGGGTTTTTTTATGTTTGTTTGTTATTTTGCTGGCCTTAGTTTGTATGTTTTGTTGGGCTTTTGTTACTTTTTTCATTTTGTTGGATCTTATTTATTGTGTGTAGTTGGGCCTTTTGTTATGGGATTGTGTTTGTGATCCTATGTCATTGGGCTATCTACCAGAATTTCCTTATCTAATAAATTTCACGTTGACCAAAAAAAAAGAAAAAGATAGGCATCTTAGATTCAATGCTTTTTGTTGTTTCGTTAGATGAGAAAACATCAGTGGCATCAAGCGGGCAGGCCCTTTCTTTTGTGGGTAACTTAACAAATTTCTTACTCAGATCAAGTCTAGGTGCGGAAAGGCTATAATGAGGGCTTTAAGTGAGGAGGTTATTTGAGGAGGTCAAATCTCACCATCAACAAATGTAAAGAAATCATGGGACTTAAATATTTTAAATGTTTTGACGGTCGGATCGGTCTCCTCACTTTAACTCCTCACTTTAACTCCTCATTGTAGAAGCTCCCGTCTAGGTGATAATATATTTTGTTTTGGCTAAACAAAAGATGAACTATCGTCAATATGAAAATGTAGCAGCTTCTTAAATTCCGACTCTGTATACGTTTACAAGACTCAAAATGGATGGAGGCTTAGAAATGAGTCATGACTTTACATGGTAGATTGGGTAAACAAATTATCCAAAATATATCATGACATTTGAGAGCATAATTGGGTGTAAGAAAAATATCATGATAACCTTAGCGAATAAATATAATGTCCCACTGACCTAAAAGTCCTTTACCTTTCAAATGTAGTTTATTAATTTTATATAAATTATAATTGAACTAACACATTAGTTGACCGTGAGTATTAGTTAACCCATGTCCGGAGAGTGTCTTGACCGTTGGACATGAGTGCCCGAGTGTCCGACACTCCGACACTCCGACACTTGGGCTTAGTTGATGCGATGCCATAATGATGAAGCTAGGCTATACAAGATCATTTAGTTCCATCCTGCAAGCACATGTACAATTTTCTCTTTTAGTATTGAAACTAGCAAAAGGTGCCCGCGCGATGTTGCGGGTTTTAAAATTGCGTGAAATGTGTATAAAGCGATGAAAATAGGCAGGGAACATCTCAGCTACCCAATTGCCAAAACACTCAAAGGATTTACCAACATGTTCAAATATTGTAATCATCTAAACCTATCATTACAACAACAAATTAACACCAACCAATTGTCAATTGATGCCATTAGCTAATTCCTATGCTCTATTCACAAAACTTAAAACAATTAATTGAAATTTCAGCCTAGAAACTCACCCCTTGCTTAACAGAACTGAAAACACCAACCAAACTGCTCTATCCAAAGCAAAGAAAGACCACCTGCAAAATATCAAAAGAAAACATGATTTTTTTAAAAAGAAGAAAAAGAAAAAACAGAAAAATCGGGGAAGAAATTAGCTTGAGTATTTTATGCATGCACAATCTTTTCATTAAACCAAAAAATTAGCTTGAGCAAAATCTGTATGGAAAGAAACCACAGGGAAAATGTATGTAATTGAGTTCCTTACCTCTCCAACATTAAATATAAATCTTTGCTTGTCAAAGAATAGCAACACTGAAGGAGATGTGTCTTGCATATCCATTCCAGTCCCTAGCAGCTGCAAAGAGTAGAAGCATGGCCAAATTATTAGCCCATGAAAAGGAAAAAAAACAATATAACCAAACTCTGCATTCTGAAATTAGGATATACAAACTTTTTTAGTTTTCAATAAGTCTCCATTCAATGCAAAAATCAACAAAAATCCGCTTGGTAAATCAAACCCACAAACAAAAAAACCTATGAATTTTAACTTTTCTGAATTCTTTCTCGTCATCTCTAATGTCCACAAACAGAATTCCAATTTAGAAGTCAGATTTTCAAATCCCACATATTTCCTAAACCAATCTTCTTCAAGTCAACTATGCTAAAACATTGCAATCAGTTCCTAGAATCACACTCCCAAATTTTCTTTCCCCTACCAAAACAAAAATTATCAAATTCAAATCCCCAGTCCCATAAACCAGTATAAGAACGAATTTGAATTAAAACCCTGTAGTAAAAGAACGAACATGTCTTTAAACATAACTACCCAAATAGCAGCATATCCTGCTTACCAAAACAGAGCTATCCTAAACCCTGTAACAAAAGAACCAGCATATCCAAATACCGATTTTGAGGGTTTACCAACTAATTTTTAATAATCAAACAGAAAACCTTACCAAAAGCAATCATATAGTATTTTAATAACTAAATTGTTTCACCTGGTTTCATCAAAATAATAACACAATCAAATCAATTTCAGTATTTGGATAACATTTGCAAATCAATAACACAGATCCACTATGAGGAAAAATTAGGAATTTGGACTTTTAGGGCAGCAAATTAAAACAGGTCTTATAGTTTAATAAAATAAGATCCAAGATATTAGTAACAAAAAAAAAATGAAAAAGAAGAGCAACAAAAATTGAATGGAAAGATGAAGCAAAATTTACTTACAGATCAGTGAGAGAGAGAGACCGAAACATAGAAAAAGCTGGAGTTCAATCTTAAGAAGAAGACCAACGCTCGCCACTCCTATAAAGTCAAAGCCTCCAGATAACAATTGATAACAAACTTAGAACAATTGTGATAATTTATAATTAAATAGGTATGAGAGAATTAAGCCAAAACACTCAACCTTTAATAGCCTCAAATCAATGGGTGTTTATTCTATTGCTACAAATTTGGAAACTGGTAGGTGTTAGTGCAAACAAATCGGAAAATTTAGTGAAGACAATGGCCATTATTAAAGAATTAAGGCCACAAAATCAACTGCACAAACCACAATTTAAATACGCCACATTCTACGAATGTGGTGGACAAAAGTATAATGTCATTGCCACAAATATTTAAATACCTATAACAGAATGAATCCAAAAGACCCAGCCTTTAATAGAATCAAACCAAATACCCATAACAGAATCAAACCATGTGCAAGTTTGTTGTTATAAAAATAAACCACAACTAATCCTAAAATTAAGGATTTAAAGTAACAAATTTACAATAAAGATATTTTTAAAAAAAAGTTCAAACTTAAAATGGAACCAAGTGAAAGAAGAGAAAACTACCAAAGGCTATGGAGCATAAAGCATTTAAGTTTTTGAGAAGAATGTGCAGAGAAATCGGGTGTAAAAGAAGGTGTGGATATGCTGATAGGTTTTCATAATATTCCAGAGGATGCCTATGACGCAACCTCCTTCACATCTGCCACCAAAGCCAAACATCAAATACAAAATACGATTCAAATTATCGAAACAAAATTAGAAAAAAGCGAAATAAATGTGATAAAAGAGTGACGCTTTGGGGTCAAAGGTGGAGCCCTTTGGCAACAAATTGGATTTTGCCAGGAGGAGAGTTGAGAAGGAACCACTTCCCCACCCCAAAAAAACATTGACTACATTAGACACTAACAAATAATCAAAATGGGTACAAATTTATTAATTGGAAAAAAATAAAGTATAAACGGCAAAGAGAACAAACCTCATTAATGGCAAGCACTTGGCCATTGCTCTTCTTGACCTTCTTCAGCTTCCTCATGAAATACCTAATCCAAACAAATCAATCAACAATACTGAGTTTAACCAAAAATTCATCAATGAACATTTGGGAAGGCTAAGGATTATTCCAGAACTTGGACTTGGCGTGAACCTCATTTGTGGCCCAGAGCTTCATTTGGTAAATCTTGGGGTGCTCATTAGATGCCATAGGGAGCTTTCTCCCAACAACCTGGTACTGGTGGAACTGCAACACAAAAAAGACACCATTAATTGCAGCTTTACCATTTGACATGCCCTAAGAGAAATATATCACACAAAAACAAATACCAAATTAAATGGAACCTAAGAAACTGTGAAGATAATTTCTAGATATTTGTTCACCAAATTTCATACAACAATCCTCCACTTAAACTGACTGTTCACAACAATACTAAGAATTTGTAGGCATATTACATATGCAATATTTGGCTAATCCATTTCACCAGCAACCATATATTTAACTAAATAAACTATGTCGAAAACCAAATGGGTATTCTTCCAGAATAAAACCAACCTTCTTGAAGCATACCCATCTAAGTTATAAGAACCCCTTAGCATCCCAATACCCTAACATGGAAAAAAGAAGCATAATTTAGAATTCTGTAACAGAAATTGTCTCATTAAATTAAACAGAAATAAAAAACAGCGAATTTAAGGCTGAGATGTAATCGACTTATTGAAAGAAAAAAAATTGAGGGTGAGAGAACGATTGACAAACCTCTTTGCTAGTCCAAATGCGGAACCCTACTTCGTTTTTTCTTGCAACACCTTCAAAGTCAGTCAACATTCTGTGCTGTTCTACAAAAGATATTTACGAACACAGAACGTCATAAAATACCTTTATTGTAAATTTGTTCAACACAAAAAATCCAGAACCAAAATATTTGACGAAATTCTATTAAAAGAAAAATAACTGAAATTAAAGAGAGGGAGAGAGAACATTGTATCCCTCAACTTCTGTACATATACACTGGCTCTGTCCCACAACATCAGCAAGGGCAATGGCAAGCCTTTATTCACGCACAAACAGTCACCTGCCATTACCAATTCAAAAGCCTGTTCAATCCCATCACAGGGGAGAAATACAATCAAAATTAATAAAAGGGAAAGAAATTGAAATACAGTGGAGGCGATTAAAAGATGCAAACCTTGTTTCTATTTCAAAGTCCACGAATAGATGTAAGTGCACCATTTTGTTGTAGTCCTGCAATGCACAGAGTCATCAGCTTCACCCAAGCAACTCCGCATGCCAATTCAAATCTACCATGAACCAATCCATAAGCCCAAACATAGAACCCAATTATATGATAAACCATCACACAAAAGGCTTAATTTTGGTCCAAAAGGGCAATTCGAGGATATGGTTCTTACTTGAAATGCTTTGTTGAGGTTGCAAAATCACCTTTTTCCTCATGCTCAAACCATTCAATAACCAAAAAACAATGAAAGGAAATTTTCATTGTAATGCTAAGCACATGTATGAAAGAACAAAGGCACCAACTTTTCAATCCAACATAATTATAGAACAAAGACTCAAACTTTTTCCTTTATGTCCTTGAGTTTCCACAGAAACCCAAGTGATTTCAATAAAAAGTACTAATGTTATTAAGTAGGTGACCTCAAATGCTCTTATAAGCATAATTATTGAACTCCTACCCACAAAACAACAGTAAAATGTTTTAAAAGATGACATTTTCTGTTTTTTTTCTTGCATTTTCTAAGCAAACAAACAGAGAGTAAGTAGGTTTCTACATATTTTATACAGTGTAAAATCAGATTTTTTGTTTGAATGATCTTATATTGAACCAACCATCTCTACCTTCCAGCTAAGAGACTGGTCGATTAGTTCAGAATATCAGCTCCTAATCATATTTTCTTTTAGATGCAAACAGATATTAAGCTCCTAGGGTTCATTATCCACATGCTCAAATAGAGAGAGACAGAGAGATCTTGACTGCTTAATAATTTTTTGGGCAAGAATCAAAGGATTGAACAGCACGCTCAGAAACCCATCAGCAAGCCATTAATCCGTTAAAAAGTAAAGGGATGCAAACCTGAAGAGAAAAGATGGAAGAACTTGCAGATCGAAAATCTCTCAGACGAACGTTGCACAGAGGATGAAAGATGGTTGAACCAACGAATGAGCAGATGAGATGAGATGAAGACCAAACGAACGGCGAGATTCGCAAGGCGCTAGCCCAAATGGAAATCTACGGCCCCAAAGGAATCCCGAAGATCGAAGCCGTGCATTCCATGGCTGCCCCCAACCAGCCCAACCAAGCTGGTTCGAAGCGGACGATCGTTCTGTGGAAACGAAACAGTGGGGAGAGTTAGCATCCAAAGAGAGAAGGGCAAAAAAGGAACATAAGGAAAATTTCAGTAAAGGGCAAAATCGGCACTTCACTATTCCTAAGCTACAGTCTAGGAACAGTGAATTCCTGAACTCAGTTTTAGTATATATATAATTTCCCATTGCCATTGTCTTAGTTACTCTCATATTGATCAGTAAGAAATCAATAAGATATTTTTCTTCTTCTCTGAGCTTATGATTCATGTTTTGGTCTTTGCTATGTATATCAGGTTTCATGTTTTGATCTTTGTTTGTAAGCGTGATCCTTATTATAATATTTGGTGCCGTTGGTACATTAAAATATGCATATGATTAGATAGGCACATAGCCTATCCAAGGGGAATTATGCCTATTCTTAATCCTATTTTAGGCTTGTGAGTCGTGTGTTGCAGCATATATACCTATTTCAGATTGTGTATATATGCACATTACATTAGCTTTGCAGTTTGCACTTTATGGGCAACTTGTTATATTGTTTTTCACAACTTCACAAGCAAGCACCAATGCACCATGCTAAGGATAGGTAGGAGGAGGAGGAGTGTTTGTTGTACCTTGTACATTTCGGCTCTTAACATTATTGCATCATACGGTACCTACTGACTTGTTTCTACTAACTCTCTAAGTCTAGTGGGTGGGTTTATTGCATGTGGATTTGCAAATTTTAAAGGAAATTTCGACCTACGTTGGTTTCATTAGATGAAGTGATGAAATGAAACAAACCATTACAAGGCATGAAATGAAACAAACCTTATCATCGCTTCACCTAATGAAACCAACGTCGTCGAAATTTCTTTCAAAAGGAAATATGTTGAGTTGAAGGAAAAGGAATTAGAACTAGCATACTATTTCATCGTTATTATGTTTAAATAAAAGAAGATTTATACTAGTAAATATTAATGGTGCTTTCTAATTAATTTTGTTTTCAATCTCTTCTCTTTTTGTTATGTTAGTATGTACAAGAAACTGCCATATTTCAAACACCAGGACACGAATCAAGATGGCTGAACAAATTAAGGAAAAATGTCCAAAATATCAAACAACAAAGTCATATTATTAATTAGCTATTACATTGGAAATGGGAGAGAGCATAGGAATTTCACACCTGATATATTATATATACGTTATGTTAGATTAGGCAACTTGGACATGTTAGCTAGGAGGAGGACTTATAAAATAATGGGATGGGAGTCATTATTTTTACAGAGGTTTTTAACACAAATAATTAATGGGAGATAAATTTACTGGTATTACACTATTACATGAGGGTCGTCAATGGGTCAAGCTAGGTTAGTGCGGCCCAAATTTTATGGGCTTGGATCGGGCTTTAAATAGGAAAGAGAAAATAATGAGCCAAGTTGAACTGGACTTTATCAAAATATTCAAAGCCCAGGTCCGCCCCATGGGCTAGGCATGAGAAAGCCCAATGGGCCAGGAGGGCTTGACCTATCTGAACGAGCCAAATGGGCCTACTATGTTTTTATCTTTTATGTTCATTTTTTTTCTATGTTTCTTTGTTACCTCCCATTTCATATTCTCTTCTTTTTTCTTTTCTTTTTTCCCATTTTCATTGTTGTCTTTTATTCTATGAATATACTTATGAATCCCCAATATCATGTTGAACAAAAAAAAAAAGTTCTCGAATGTCGTTTCTCTTTTGGCCTGAATTTGTTCGAGTACCCACCTAAGGCATTTTACCCTTTTGACAAATGAGATGTTCAGTTAGTTTTCCTTGAATGCCAACAGAGGCACACTTGTTTAATGGAAGCAATTCCTTAATAGACATGGGCACTAGCCACAACCCATACAAACAAACAGAAGGATACATAAGGGATGGTGTGATATGCACAGATCACATGGTTGAATGACTCTGGAGACAACAAATTAGGACAAGACTAAATAAACGAATAATCTTTCTTCAGTTCCCTTTGTAAAAGGATCTTAATTTCATCAAAAAATTTGACCCAGACACCAGCATGGTAATTTTCAGGTGAGTTAGGCAATGACTCATTCTTAGCCGCAATGACAAGCCCATAAAAGATGCCTGATATATATATATATATATATGGTCTCGCTAGAAACCACCCTTTGAAAAACCAACTTGTTTGTGACATTCTTGTTGTACTCCAAAACAACCCACTTTCCCTTTTCTACCACAACTCGATCTCTAGTGTGTACACGCATCCAGGCACCAGGAACTCGATTTGTTGTGGCACTAGCGGTGGCAAGAATAATGAGTAGAGTGGTCATCAATATCAGTGTAAGGAAGAAATGAGGGTACATTGTAATTTTAATTTTAATTTCTGATGTGAATGTGATGAATGAGGAATCAAAAGTTTTTATGCTTTGATTTGAAGAAAATCTTATTGTTGCATGGTCTGTATATATACTATAACGATTGGTTGGTTACAATTTACCTTACTATTCGTCAAGTTTTGAAGACTGCGATGCCCCTGGCCGCTAGTAGGTTATACATTGGTAGCTAGCAATTACTTGTTGGTGAAGGAAGTGAGGTGAGAGAGATCTGGGTCTTGAAGTGGGCAAAAAAGCTGCTCGCTAGTGAAATGCGATAGGCATGCCACTACTAATGATACTTTTCTAGTAGAAAGAGGGAGTGAGGTGAAGTTTAAGCCCGTGAAAGTATTGCACCCTTGTTTTCTTATCTTCTAATCCATTGCCCTCCAAAGAGGGGAATCTGGCTTTAGATTGGTTCTTTTCTATGCCTCAACGAAGAAGACTTCAATATTTCACATATTATGGAATCAAATGTGAGTTGGATGATGATTATAAACTGTCATCGAATATAAAGTACAATAACGAGCCTTGCAGGAGAGGTGTCCAATGGATAGCATAATACCAGAAGATAATTATATACCCAACAGAGACTTAACAATGAATGCAAGTAAAAGTAAAGCTTGGTCCAACAAAAATACAAAAAGCCTTATTGGACAAAAACTGCAATCTACTTGAGACAGTGCAGAAGGTATGTCCGATGAGAGTTTGTCAGGTATATTTGCAGTCAGAACTTGTCAAAACTACGGATAGGAGTTTTGATTTAAATGAGCTAGAAATCGAGACCAACTATCAAATCATACCAAGTAGTGTTGGCAGAGCATATAGATTACAAACAATAACAATGCATTTCCAATCAGGAGTTGTCAACTGGGAATTAGACAGAGTAAGTGTTTGTGAAAAGAATAGAATTCTAATCAGGAGTTGTCAACCAGGAACTCAGAGAAACAAAGAGGATTCGATTCAAGACTTGGCTTTGGTCTACAGTGAGAAGCTTTGCAAGAGTTTGAGTCTGGGTTAATTCGGGGTTGTCGAGAGTAAGCATATTTTGAAGGTTGTTCAAAATAGGTTTAATTGATTTGCTGTTGGATCCTCAATACTGAGATTTCTTCCTCCATTTATAGGCTTCAAGGTCTTCAAAAAAAAAAAAAGATGACTACTTGATGGGCGTTACTGCTTCAAACCATAAAGAATTCACAAAATAATGAGAGCATGCCTTTCAAGCTGATCAATGGTGGTGCTTTCTAGTTTCAAACTTTGGGACCACTTTGCAGGAGGTGCCGCAACGAGTCAGCTTTGGGTTTTTAACCATTCTTTACTTGTCGAGAATTGAATATTCTCTGTTAAAGCAGATTTCTTTATTGTTTTGCTGAAGATCAGTCCATACCACCTGTACAAGCATAGTTGTTTGAATTGTTTTTTACCCAAAGCTCAAACTGCTATCCAATTAGCTCATACTGCTTATTAAATGAACTGTCAAAAATCACTTAGATTGGTTATAAATACACTTTAATTGGCTTTTACTATAACCTCATGCATTTTCTATCTGAAATGGAACTGCAACATCAGACATCTCTTATGTTTGAAGTGGGACTGTAGTGTCATACATTTGTGTTCGAAGCCATGCACTGTAGCTTCGAACACTATTGTTTGAAGGCTTGGTTGACCACGCGCTGGTCAATGTTTGCGGCCGGCTTTTGTCCGAAGGTCTTTGGGCCTTGTTTCTCACTAATTGGGCCTTCACATATGCCGAATAAACTCCTGGCAGTTTGGGCCCCATTTTGCTAACCATAAGACTAGCCTACTAACTGTAGGAATTAACCTGTGTTAATTTCGGTTTGAACAATTACATATTTATCAGTGGATAAGTAATTGAAGGATAGATATTCAGTGTATCTTCCCACCCATTCAATTCAAAAGAATGGATTTCTCTTTTTCAGAATTTAAAACAATGGATTTGGTTTTTTAAAATGACAAAAGGAAACAAAATTATGACAAAAGGATATGTTTGTAAAAGGAAAATTACGTGAGATATAAAATGCCAATGAGAATAGGTTAAAGTATTCATTTGCTGTTTTGACTTCTTTTGGAATGTCAGATTCCAAATCTAGAATTTGGTTCATGTTTATGGTCAAATTCATAACATTGTATTGAATCTAGTTTACAAACATTAAAATTATTTCTAATTCAATACAATACAACGTTCCCTCTTAGTATTATGGTCAAATTCATAACATGGTGAAAAATGCATTGGCTGGTGTATTGACGTTTTGTCTTTAAAATTTTGAAGATAAGGTGGGTAGGATAATAGAACATATAAGTGGAAATAGCAATACTCTTAATAAATAGTAAAAGAATTTTAAGTCGTGGTTGCCTATGTTGCACAGATACAAATACACGACACGAGACACATCAATTAATTTTTATTATATAATAATAATACTTATATATAATTGAAAAAATAAATTATTTATGTTCATATACTCCAATTTCACAATATCATATATAGTGAAATTCAAGCTTTCCAAGCCTTTCAAATGTAGTTTATTAATTTTATATGAATTATAATTGAATTAACACATTAGTTGACCTATATTCGAAGAGTGTCTTTACCATGTATGGGGAGTGTTTTGATAGTGGACACAATTGTCCGAGGAGTGTCCGACACTTGGGCTTAGTGGAGTTTCGGTGTAACATAGGCAGTTGCACTATCATACTAAAAATAAGCATAGATTATTTAACAAACATTTTGTGGCATAAGTAAGACCCTTTAGCCCACGGGGTCCAATCAAATGGAAAAGAGCTTTAACTTGCAGACAAAAGGTCTCAAGTTCGAACCCTCATAGCATCATTTGTGTGTGTGTGTGTGAAAAATCTCATTT